CTGCGTGTGCAGTGTATGCAGTCAGGAGCTCAATCTGTATGTGTTTGCAGTCAGAGGATACAGTGTTTCTGCGTGTGCAGTGTATGCAGTCAGGAGCTCAATCTGTATGTGTTTGCAGTGAGAGGATACCGTGTTACTGCATGTGCAGTAAATGCAGTCTGGAGCTCAATCTGTATGTGTGTGCAGTGACAGGATACAGTGTTACTGCGTGTGCAGTGTACACAGTCAGGGCTCAATCATACCTGTGTACAGTGAGAGGATACAGTGTTACTGTGTGTGCAGCTATTGAGTGTGCAAAAAGCTTTCAGTTACCTTGATACAGTCGGGATGTGCAATCTGCCCACAGGCCGTGCACTCCATTAGGGTGAGAGAGAAAACTGGAGTCTCACTGGGGTCCTGAGAGCCCTCCCCACACACCTCACACACTGCTGACAGGGGCAGGCCAGGCTGAGAGACAGAGAGATGTAGAGACATTAACAGCATCCACACACACCCACAAGGTTTGAGACAGTAACAACGCACACACACACACACACACACACACACACACACACACACGGCCAGGTGTGAGATTTAGAGTCCACATATGCTTCAAACGTTACAAATACAGTCATGTGGTAAGTATTAATCTTTGTGGGGAGAAAGTAGAATATTCACACTGCACTCATCAGGCACACACAGTCTGATGTGTGCAGTGTGAGTGTGTGTTATACTTCGCCTGTAACACTAATGTTTTTCACATTATCAAACACATGGAAACCCAAGATAATTCAGGTCCTCATTTGTCAAAAAAATGTCATCGGAGATGATGCTTCTATAAAAATTAATGACAAGAAGTCTGCTGGTAGTGATGTCTATTTTAAAAATACTGCTTATCCCAGAAAAGTAGAGGCATGTCAAACCCTCACGAACAAGCACCGGGTGCTAAACCTGGCCTGCAGCTCAGTTTGTCGAAAAAGCGGATTCTCGGTGTCACAGGAGACAAACTCCAGGCATTTCACCACCTCAGTAGTGACACAAAAGTGCCTGTCGTGTCGAGATATCTTGAGTCAGTTAATCAGCAGTACACGTGCAGAAAGAACACCAGGGCAGAAGGGCAGCGGCGCCTCTGGGTGCGAGTCGGGCAGCGCTGACCGGAAGACGCGTGATTTTAAATCGGCTTCCGAAGAGACACGGGTGGGGAGGCTCATTCGCCCTCGGGCAGAGCGTGCAGTTCTGGAGAAAGACCCCCTCGACTCGGGGGGCTGGAAACAGCTCTGAGAGTCCTTTTCGCTCGACCCCTGCACCCATCAACAGTGCCGTGTGCTGACGGAGACTGGGGTGAGAGGAGGAGCACAGTGCCAATCTAAAACACCGTGTTCTGCAGTAAAACTACCCAAGGATTAAATAACTGCTGTTGCAATCACTAGCTGAATTTATTTAAGGGGTTAAGACCAAGGGGTGAAGGACGAAGGAGAGGGGTTAAGGCACTACGCAGCTGTAAGTAGTTCTCACTCCTGTATGCTAGGCCTTAAAGTCTGCAAACCGTTTTCATGGACCTCTGGTTGTGCAAAGTTAGAATTGCTCAAGCGGAGCGTTGCGGAACTCGAGAAGCGACTTTCCGGGTGTTTAACACTGATGATGTCCCCTCACACTCACTCCATCACCAACTACCCCCAAAAGTCACAAAATTGACATCTGGCCTCTTTCCATCCCATCGGGGATCCCCGCTGACGGAGAGCGTCGAGCAGTACGTTCTGGCACTGACAGGTGGAAACGCACACAGGTGTTATTCAGTCAGAACAACTGTCCAAAATCTCAAAAACTGGCTGGGTCAGGAAATGTAATTAAATAATAGTTGCGCTGTTATAGCACAATTAACAGTTTCCAGACAGCATTCATTTTCGGAAATAGTACAGCTGAGACTACTAAGAGAGCCTGCTTTGCCGTCCATCTCCAAAGCAGAGGACTAGACATCACGACCCCGGCGACACAGAAGTGGGCTGGACAGCGCCGGAAACGAACACATACATGTCACATGAGCAGACACACGCGGCAGCTCCACACACAGACCTTCACATCACCCACTGCGCCCCCTCTCTGTACTCACAGCGAGACACTGGCGGAGCACGCAGGTCTGTTTCAGACGCCCGGGGCCCCCGAATTTCTTCATGTCTCGGCAGAAGTTGCAGACGCCGCACTCCTGGCGCAGACAGGCGGCACAGCGCTTGCAGCGCACCCGGCGCCTGCGCAGAGCCGACACAGAGGCGGGGCGGGGCGGCCGGGACGGCGCAGGACACGAGGGGTACAATCGTGGACGCCCCACTGGCAGTGGAGGAGGAGGGCACGGCTGGTACCAGGAGGGCTGGGAAAATAAGGATTAAGGATTACTACTGACACTTGGCCTCTTTCATTCCCATCGGAGAACACTGATGATGGAGAGCATGTCAGGGGTTAATACAGTCCAGACACACTGACTGGACACT